TGGAGAAGGATTAATAATGGAGAGGGAAAGGGGATTTATGTGGATTCCCGTTTCTGAGGCACACAAGGGGCGCTTTATGTACCTGGGAGGTCGGTTTACGGTTGGGGAAAAGGGGGGGGGGGGTGAAAGGTCACCGGGAACAGCACTTATTTCCTGCGTGCGAGTGATATTGCATCCATGATCTTTGCAACGACTCGGCTGTTTGTCTTTTCCAGAGCAGAGGCCGGGGACTCCTGAAGGCTCTGCGAGTCCATTATGCGCGGGAGGGAGGTGACGAGCCCATGGCCCACTGTCAGCGCCCCAACGACGAGGGAAGGACCTATAATTTATCGCTTACACACAATCGCTATTCATCTCCCTCCCCTTCACACTTCGCTTCGCGCGGGGACAAGAAAGTGCCTTCCCCTCCCAGTACCCGAAGCAGGAGCGGCGAGAGGGAAGGAGGCGGAGGCGAGGACCCGAGGCTCAGAGGGGAACACGCGAGAGCGAGGGGAAAAGGCGGCGCGTACAGAGGCTGCTACCTTCACCGCGGCTGCCAGCGACCGACTGACTCCGCCACCAGCTCTCAGCCCTGCCGACCGCTCGCCGCCAGTCTTGGGCTGCCCTGCTCCTGCTGGCTCTGCTGCTCCTGCTAGTTTTGCTGCTTCTGCTGGTTCCGCTGCTTCTGCTGGTTCTGCTGCTCCTGCTGGTTCTGGTTCTGCAGCTCCTGCTGGTTCTGCTGCTCCTGCTGGTTCTGCTTCTGCTGCTCCTGCTGGTTCTGCTGCTCCTGCTGGTTCTGCTGCTCCTGCTGGTTCTGCTGCTCCTGCTGGTTTTGGTTCTGCTGCTCCTGCTGGTTCTGCTGCTCCTGCTGGTTTTGGTTCTGCTGGTTCTGCTGCTCCTGCTGGTTCTGCTGCTCCTGCTGGTTCTGCTGCTCCTGCTGGTTCTGCTGATCCTGTTGGCTCTGCTGCTGCTCCTGCTGGTTCTGCTGCTCCTGCTGGTTCTGCTGATCCTGTTGGCTCCTGCTGTTCCATGCTGCCCCCTTGCCTGCTCCTGCTGGTTCTGGTTCCGCTGCTCCTGCTGGCTCTGCTGGTTCTGGTTTCTGCTGCTCCTGCTGGTTCTGGTTTCTGCTGGTTCTGCTGCCCTGCTGGCTCTGCTGATCCTGCTGGTTTTGGTTCTGCTGCTCCTGCTGGTTCTGCTGCTCCTGCTGGTTCTGCTGCTCCTGTTGGTTCTGCTGCTCCTGCTGGTTCTGCTGGTTCTGCTGCTCCTGTTGGTTCTGCTGCTCCTGCTGGTTCTGCTGCTCCTGCTGGTTCTGGTTCTGCTGCTCCTTCTGGTTCTGCTGCTCCTGCTGCTCCTGCTGGTTCTGGTTCTGCTGGCTCTGCTGCTCCTGCTGGTTCTGCTGCTCCTGCTGGTTCTGGTTCTGCTGCTCCTGCTGGTTCTGGTTCTGCTGCTCCTTCTGGTTCTGCTGCTCCTTCTGGTTCTGCTGCTCCTGCTGACTCTGCTGCTCCTGCTGGTTCTGGTTCTGCTGGTTCTGCTGCTCCTGCTGGTTCTGCTGCTCCTGCTGGTTCTGGTTCTGCTGGCTCTGCTGCTCCTACTGGTTCTGCTGTTCCTGCTGGTTCTGCTGCTCCTGCTGGTTCTGGTTCTGCTGCTCCTGCTGGTTCTGGTTCTGCTGCTCCTACTGGTTCTGCTGTTCCTGCTGGTTCTGCTGCTCCTGCTGGTTCTGGTTCTGCTGCTGGTTCTGCTGCTCCTGCTGGTTCTGATTCTGCTGGTTCTGGTTCTGCTGCTCCTGCTGGTTCTGCTGCTCCTGCTGGTTCTGGTTCTGCTGCTCCTACTGGTTCTGCTGCTCCTGCTGTTCCTGCTGGTTCTGCTGCTCCTGCTGGTTCTGCTGCTACTGCTGGTTTTGGTTCTGCTGCTCCTGCTGGTTCTGCTGCTCCTGCTGGTTCTGGTTCTGCTGCTCCTGCTGGTTCTGCTGCTCCTGCTGGTTCTGGTTCTGCTGCTCCTGCTGGTTCTGCTGCTCCTGCTGGTTCTGCTGTTCCTGCTGGTTCTGCTGTTCCTGCTGGTTCTGGTTCTGCTGCTCCTACTGGTTCTGCTGTTCCTGCTGGTTCTGGTTCTGCTGCTCCTGCTGGTTCTGCTGCTCCTGCTGGTTCTGCTGCTCCTGCTGATTCTGGTTCTACTGCTCCTGCTGGTTCTGCTGTTCCTGCTGATTCTGGTTCTACTGCTCCTGCTGGTTCTGCTGCTCCTGCTGGTTCTGCTGTTCCTGCTGGTTCTGATTCTGCTGCTCCTGCTGATTCTGGTTCTACTGCTCCTGCTGGTTCTGCTGCCCCTGCTGGTTCTGCTGCTCCTGCTGGTTCTGCTGCTCCTGCTGGTTCTGCTAGTTCTGCTGTTCCTGCTGGTACTGCTGATCCTGCTGGTTCCGGTTCTCCTGATCCTGCTGGTTCTGGTTCTGCTGGTTCTGTTGTTCGTGCTGGTTCTGCTACTCATGTTTTTTTTCTGCTGCTCCTGCTGGTTCTTCTGTTTCTTTAAGTTATGTTGTTCCTGCTGGTTCTTCTGGTCTTGCTGGCTCTGCTGCTCCTGCTGGTTCTGGTTCTGCTGGTTCTATTGGTCCTGCTGGTTCTGCTGTTCCTGCTGGTTCTGTTGTTCCTACTGGTTCTGCTGTTCCTGCTGGTTCTGTTGTTCCTACTGGTTCTGCTGTTCCTGATGGTTCTGCTGTTCCTACTGGTTCTGCTGCTCCTTCTGGTTCTGCTGCTCCTGATGGTTCTGTTTTTTCCTGCTGGTTCTGCTGCTCGTGACTGGTTCTGCTGTTCTTGCTGGTTCTGCTATTCCTGCTGGTTCTGCTGTTCCTGCTGGTTCCGCTGTTCTTACTGCTCCTGCTGGTTCTATTTCTCTTGCTGGGTCTGCTGCTCGTGACTGGTTTTGCTGTTCCTGGTGGCTTTACTGCTCCCCCTGGGTCTACTGCTCCTGCTAGTTCTGTTTCTACTGCTCGTGACTGATTCTGCTGTTCATACTGGTTCTGTTGCTCCTGCTGGTTCTGCTGATCATGCTGGTTCTGCTGCTAATGTTGGTCCTGTTGCTCCTGCTGCTCGTGACTGGTTCTGCTGGTTTTGTTGCTCCTGTTGCTTCTACTGCTCCTACTTCTCCTGCTGTCCCTTCTTCTCCTGTTATTTCTGCTGTTCCTGCTCCTCCTGTTAGCTCTGCTTCTTCCCCTGCTGTTCCTGCTTCTCCTATTAGCTCTGCCTCTTCTCCTGCTGTTCCTGCTGTTTCTGGTCATGATGATCCTGGTTGTCGCCTGACGGGGGAAATGATAGGGGGGGGAAGGGGGTGTCATAGCCCAACGACAAAGATCACGCCAGTCCTTCTGTTATAAGATCATGACCCTTACTGACACCTGATGTTACGTACTGAAAGCGTTCGTAATGGAGAGGAAGTCAGCCTGTAGATTCCTTTGGGTAAACTCGGGACTGAGATTCTTGGGGATAAATGGTTGTTCCTTGACAATACAGTGAGTAGTCTTTGCTTAATTACGTGGGGCTATTTTATTATCTACATTGGAGTTAATTAGTGTTGAAGTTAGTTGTTTTGGGGTAATATACAGTTTCGGATTTGTTTTTATTGTTATTATTGTTATTATTATTATTATTATTATTATTATTATTATTATTATTATTATTATGTTATTATCATTATTATTATTATCATTAGTATTATTATTGTTACTATTATTACTATTATTATTACTAATTATCATTATCATTAGTATTATTACTAATTACCATTATTATTATTATTATTATTATTATTATTATTATTATTATTATTATTATTACTACTGTTTTTATTATTACTGTTATTATCATCATTATTACTATTATTATTACCATTAGTAGTAGTAGTAGTAGTAGTATTACTATCATTATTATTATCATTACTACTGTTATTATTATTACTGTTATTATTATCATTATTACTATTATTATTATCATTATTATTATTATTATTATTATTATTATTATTATTATTATTATTATTATCATTATTATTATTTTTATCATTATTATTATTATTGGTATGGTGCATATCTGTTATTCATTTAGCAGAATATTACACTAATATGCTTATTTCTCTTCAAGACAGGAATATATCTCATCTATGTGAAAATGTAAAAAAGAAGCTTATCGATATGAAAATATAAAAAATTGAAAAAGAAGATTAGAATATAGTTAATATTAATTAAATATCATATTTACAATCTTCCTCTATGTGGGGAAAGTCCAATAACTTCGTCCAAGGCAGACTGATATTGTTATTTGAGATTCCAAAGCGAATTTTGTACTTACACGGAACTTAGGCCCATATATCCGCGGAGATTTAATCTGGAACTGACCAAGTCGCGCCGGAATATGTGATAAAAGAACCATCCGGCTATTTTGTCTCGAAATGTGCTGTTGTTCGCAAAATCTTTATTCTGAAATTTGTGCAATAACTGTAGGTGAGTTATGGCGTCTTCTAAGTTGATGCAAGGGTAATATCCGAGCCGGAACTTTATATATGCATTATACATGGTGGTCCGCGGAGGTCATACGAACACAGGCCCTGGTAGAAGCAGCAGCAGCAACAGGAGAAAAAAATCTTGCATGATTATGGTAGAAAAGGGAAACAAAGCGATTGTTGAAATGATATCAACCGTGGTTATGCGTTGCTGTTATTGGCAGTGTTGCCGTTGATATATCCACAAAAAACCGCTAGATTGGACGTTAAAAAACCGCTAGACATAAGCGTAAAAAAAAACTCTTCATTTTCCCGCTGAACAGGACTTTAAAAAAAAAAAAAAAAATCACCAAACATATTGCAAACTTTCATCAATTTCCCGCAAGATCAAACTCTAGAAACTCTAGATCTAGCGGGAATATCGCTAAAATGGCAACACCGGTTATTGGAATGTAAAACTGGTATGGAATTAAAGCTCGAAAAGGACGAGGAAAATTGCGTTAGCCTCCGCCGTGACTGTTTAGGGTAATGAACAAGGGGATATAGTTTGATGATGTTTATAGCGTGTTGCAAATTGTGAAGAGACGCTCGGCAAGAGGCAATGAATTTCTTCTCGCATTCTCTCAAAATATTCACATTTAAAAAAAAAAGAAAAACTAAAAAAAAGGAAGAATAATTTGAGTAAATGATTAAAACCATCGCGGTACTTATATTGAGATAAAGATGATAGATGGTAGTGTTGACAGGAAGCTCCTCTGGATCTGAATGGGCGAGGGGGGAGGGGGGAAGAGGGGGTGGAGGGAGGGAGGGAGGGGAAGGGGGGGCGAGAGATTAGTTACAAGGGCTGGCGATACGAATTCTTAATGGAGGGAGGGGGGGAGGGGGATGTGTCTTAGTGTTTTTCTTGCAATAACTTTTTTGTCGAATAATAGCGAAAAGAATAATGATGATGGTGATAATTTTGACATGAAGAGATTGAGGAAAAATGGAGGTAGTCACTTTTACTTGTCTATTATGAGCATCTTTTTAGTATGAAGTAAATCTTTTACTATAATTTTGACAGCCATTATTCGGGTAGAATTTCAGAGCGTTTATTTTCTTTTCCTTTCTTTATATTACATTAAAACCAAGAGAACGTGTGATAAAAGGAATATTCTTAATAACAATAAAGGGTGACATAGGAATAGAAACGGGCGGAGGAGAGAGAAAGAGAGAGAGAGTGAGAGAGAGAGAGAGAGAGAGAGAGAGAGAGAGAGAGAGAGAGAGAGAGAGAGAGAGAGAGAGAGAAAGAGACAAGTAGGTAGACAGGCAAGTAGGCAGACAGACAGACAGACACGTAGGTAAACAGGAGAAGATGTGGAGATGCAAAAGAGAGAGAGAGGAAGAGAAAGAGAGCGAGAGAGAGAGAGAGATAGAGAGAGAGAGAGATAGAGAGAGAGAGAGAGAGAAACAAAACAAACCAAAACTCAAAGTCAAATGGCTAATACCGAACTATATTTTCTGCAATGCTTTTTAACAAGGAAATGTATCCTAAAGCTGCAATTTGCATTTAAGCCTTAGTAGTTTCCATGTAAAAAATCTGTGTAAAGAGTTTTGTGTTCCAAGTCTTTCATTTATATTTTCCTCTTAGCTGTTATAAATATCCAGTTGCTAAAAGCACAGTTCTTAATATAGCATTTACGCATATGATAACGATAATAATTGTAGTAACAGTAAAAGTGATAATAACAATATGTATATATATATATATCTATATATATATATATGAATATATATATATATATAAAGAGAGAGAGAGAGAGCGAGAGAGAGAGAGAGGAGAGAGAGAGAGAGAAGAGAGAGAGAGAGAAACAAAACAAACCAAAACTCAAAGTCAAATGGCTAATACCGAACTATATTTTCTGCAATGCTTTTTAACAAGGAAATGTATCCTAAAGCTGCAATTTGCATTTAAGCCTTAGTAGTTTCCATGTAAAAAATCTGTGTAAAGAGTTTTGTGTTCCAAGTCTTTCATTTATATTTTCCTCTTAGCTGTTATAAATATCCAGTTGCTAAAAGCACAGTTCTTAATATAGCATTTACGCATATGATAACGATAATAATTGTAGTAACAGTAAAAGTGATAATAACAATATATATATATATATATATATATATATATATATATATATATATATATATAGAGAGAGAGAGAGAGAGAGAGAGAGAGAGAGAGAGAGAGAGAGAGAGAGAGAGAGAGAGAGAGAGAGACTGTATTGGGTTTTAGTATTGTTTGATAAGTTTATAGAAAATGTAAAAATAGACTGACTTTAGTTCTTGTTTAAAAGTGTCCATCGGTACATAATATACTGTGTAAGCTTAACTTATTATGTGATAGATTAATCGTTGTATAAGAGAGCTTTGAGGAATCCATTAAAAAACACGTAGACAAAAAATAAAGAAAAGTGAAATGTCACTGGTAGGTAATAGCGATCGACAGTTTTTTTTTCAAACAAAATGAAAGAAACAAATACGTGGCGATAGAAAAGCAGAGTTTTGAATTATGCATACATACATACATGCATTTAAATATATATATATATATATATATATATATATATATATATATATATATATATATATATATATATATATATATATATATATATATATATATATATATATATATATATATATATATATATATATATATTTATATATATACATATATGTATATATATATATATATATATATATATATATATATATATATATATATATATATATATATATATATATATATATATGTATATATATTTATATGAATATATATATATATATGTATGTATGTATGTATGTATGTATCTATCTATCTATCTATCTATCTATATATATATATATATATATATATATATATATATATATATATATATATATATATATATATATACATATACACACACACACACATACACACACACACACACACACACACACACACACACACACACACACAC